CTCGTTTTTGGGTCGTTTGGCTCGTTTTTGGGTCGTTTGGGTCGTTTTGGGGTCGTTTAGCTCGTTTTGGGGTCGTTTGGCTCGTTTTTGGGTCGTTTCGTAATATGTCTAAGCCCATATTTAAATCCCTGATTTAAATTCCAAAGATTTTAGCACACGTAGCATCAACAATGACGACAAAATAAATGCCATTTAAATCATAATTTATTTATTTGCCACTTAACAACGAACACTCATTTTTACTCACTCGTACGCGTCACTATACGCATAAACAAGTTACGGGCGATTGACAGACAATACTCTCACACAACATTTCTAATTCTGAGTATATATAGTCACCTCGCAGCAATCCGCAACTCTTACGAAAATATGCTGTGTTTTTACGTGTGCTGGGAGCACACGGGACCGACAGTTGATCGTCCTCTCCGATATGACCCCATTCTTCCTACTAGATGTATACAGAGCGAAGATCAAAAATCGAAGATGGTGTATATTTCAAGAAAATAATTCCCAACTGTAAATCCATTTGAGAAGACATTAAATACTTATAAATGCGCGATATTCAACTACGCCATGGTAAACAATTAACAAACTTTGGGGCAACACATTTTTGGAACCACTACACAAAATACAAAACAACTCATCTGCATAATTTTTTTTTCGAAACCTTGTGCACGCTGTAAACTGTCTGAAAACTGGATATACTTGGTATTAACAAGCTTTGTAAATTGCAGACTTGTATTTTCAACGCGTGTGACGTCATTAGCTACAGTTCCTTGACACTGGTCTAAAAATAGTGCGCGGCCAATGACCTGTGGCCTTTGTTCTTCGTTTTAAAGATTATAGTGGGGTTTTCTTTAAACGAAAGAACGTAGAACGAAGACTATATATGTTATGATTAAACGACAGGGATTCTGGCTAAATCGTTAGCGAGTCCGCTTAGCACCAGAGTTTTTGTGGGTTCGACCCCATGGTTGGCTGCCAACGTTAATTTAAAGTGTGAAAATGGTGACAACCTGTCCACTTGCCGGGAGTGGGGAGAATGGCGTCCAGTCGGACTGAGGGGCACAAACTGTCGGTTCTGTGTCCCGGTCTTGTTTGCTCCCGGTGCAAAAGAACACAACATCCTTATCACCGCGGGATGACTATATATAATTAGAAATGTTGTGTGTAAGTGCTGTCTACCCCCCCCCCCCAAGTAGGGAAACTAACACAATGCCTAACTATTTAAAGCAGTGTGTAGTATATTATTGTATTGCAATCCCTTTATAAACCTTTTCCTAGCAGTGTATTCCATGTAAGAATCCCAGCGCGTGATACCGTGATCACATCGTCAGTGCATGTACGGTAGTTCAGTGGATTGACACTCAGATAACACGTGAATTTGATGCACGCGTAAATTAAATGCAAAAAAAATGACCGTATTCTATATTTAGAAACTAGATCTCGTGACCACTACCTGAATGAACAATTCCACACAGCAGATGCAAAGAGGGCGACATCGCACTAGGTAAGTTTGTATGTTTGAGTTTGTTTATCTCATAACCTAACCATACCGCATTTCTATCATTCGAGCATCTCTAATCAAATGAATAATAATGTGCAATAATCGGTGTAAAATTGGTAACAACCGCCAAAGCAACATTTGCAAATTTTACCATGTTTCGGGTTCGTACTCCTGTTTCTGTTCAATAACAGCTCATTTATTATCATGACTTTTTCTCACGTGAGTTTATCATAATTACCATAACAAAAGCTGCTCAGATAAAGACATGATTCATGCGGCAAATATGTTTTGCATAAACAGAGTTTATTAAATACAAACTATTTGCAATCCCGAGGGTTGGCTAGAATAGTTTGATCAGTAGATATAGTACAGTGTCTATCTGTATATTTTTATAGTGCTTTAATGGGTCAACATTTTTTTTTCTCTGTGTTTGCAAGCTTGCAATTTTGTTAACATATCATTCAGTCACTTTGCTAAGCGCATGCGTTTTCTGCGCCGGTGCGCCATAAAATCACAACGCCAAGATAAACACAGCACACACGCGTGAGGTTAGATCACGGTTACTTTAAAACATTTATTTAAACATTGATTTTAACTGTATTCCTAATGACAGTCCTCAGACGTTTTACAACTAAATACACGTTAAACAGTCCAATAAGACTGGCCGGGCTTCTACCTTCGACGTAACTATATCTGAAATTACGTCGAATTTCACATTTTGTTTCATTTGTGTCCAGTATTGAGTTGTCATTCTGAGTCGGTATTTTGAGTTGGTAGAAGGTATTTTTCTATTGCTGATACCATCGGACTGCATTGTAAACTGACCACACGTGTATTTATATGCAAAGTGAACTTTACACAGTTGCATTTATATGCTAAGTGTAATTGCAACTGATAACTGTGACATATTTTGTAAACCGACATTGTCCTAGCTACATAACCTTGGCATATTTTGTAAGCCGACATTGTCCTAGCTACATGATAAGCATGACATATTATGTAAACCGGCATTGTCCTAGCTACATAAGCATGGCATATTGTGTAAACCGACATTGCCCTAGCTACATAACCTTGACATATTTTGTAAGCCAACATTGTCCTAGCTACTTGATAAGCATGGCATATTGTGTAAACCGACATTGTCCTAGCTACATAAGCATGGCATATTGTGTAAACCGGCATTG